ATGTTTCAAATTGCAATAAATTCTATTTATTTGCACTCCTTTTGTCTTACCACTCCTGACTGAAAATGTTTTTAGAAAAAGATTTTAGATTTTGTCTGGCAATTCAAAGGACAAGCTAATCATACAACACAGATAAAATATCAAACATTAAAGCCAAACTCTTGCTAAGGGACATCAGTCTAGTAGAAATTGAAAAGTCAAAAAATAAACATATTTCATGTTTCACATGAAATGTTGAAAAGTAATTATGCATGTGTAATTCTGTGTGTGCAGGAGTATTTTCATTTTCTAACCTTTACTTTAAGGTAAATAAGGAGCCTTACACCCAGTACCAGACCCTTATGTTTTTGAAGAGTGCCTTGTTTGCTGCTCTAATATAAGTCTTGTTTAAACATAGAAGAATGCGTGAACATCCAAACCAACCTGTGGGTAAGTACTGAAACAAAGAATGACTTGCACAGAGTAATTATGAATCCAACTAGGTGGTGTCATTAATAGAGACATTGCAAACTCTGAGGTCTCAGAGCTAACTGAATGCACCTGTGCCAAATAAGTGCAACTTCTCAGTGAATGTCACATTTGTCTCTTAAAGGAATGTCCTAATAAAACCAGTATATAGCATGAGCTTTTCATTTTTTACTTTGTACTAACATATGCAAAATGTTAACCTATAAACACAATGTTAATATTTTCATTTACAACGGTTAACTATTATGAATTGTTAAGTTTAGATCACACTATGTCCAATTAACATATGAAACTGATGAATGAAGAATGATTTTAAGTATATTTATCTGATCCATTTTATGTAACAAATAATTCCTAATACACAACAACAGTTTAACAATTTGATATCATGTCTTGCATTCATGAAAACAATATTAAAAGGTTACAAATGGAAAAGTTGTTTTTGTATGACTTGAAGTGATGTGTTGTGATAGGAACCCAGTGTCATAATTTGAAATCAGTAGTGTTCAGGTGTTGTGGAGTAAAAGTAAAAACAAAAGGCTAAGCAAGCGCCACGCTGGAAACTGGGACTGTTATTTCCTGTAGAGCCGGATGCAGGTGCTTCATCTAGATTTATTTTGGAACTGTATTACTTGATTTGCAATTTTATCGTGAATTCTAATCCACGAAACAAAGTCTTAAGCAACTTTCATACTTATTCTGACAAAAAAAGGTAGATGCAAATCTCGACAGGTAGCCTACAACATCTGTATGTGTAATAAATTACCGGTGACTATAAACGTTCTTTAAAGGTTAAATGTTTAAGTTTCAGTGTAATCTAGTGGTGAGGGTTGCGAATTGCAATGAATTACAAAAAAACTCCACTCAACGTCCCCCCTCCCTTATCCATTTGAGGTTTCTCGCCTGCATGCACATTGCAGTTTCTCGCGGGTCTATTTCAAGTAGCTGGCTGACCCAGGGTTAAGGTTACAATTTTGGATTTATTCTCGCACTTTAAAAACATTTATAGAAAGTTTTTTTTTCTTTTTACAGGTTTATTTACAGCATTAAACGTTGGAATGTATATTGTAATAGGCTGTATATTAACTTATTGGGAGAAAACTGGTAGTTCTATCAGACGTTGAGCACCCCCATATCGCCAAAATGGCATGATCCTAGTTTAGTAACTAGGATCATGCCATTTTGGCTAGACTACTACGAAGCTTTGACTGTGAGATTGACAGTCGAATCAGGCTACACCCATCGAAGCATCGCATCTTCGACTATTGGGTGTCAGCCCTAGTTGACAGCAAAGCCAAAACACACACTGAAGAATAAAGTTAATGAAATTACAATCTAACTATATATTTCACAACACCGAGAGGGGAAACACATCACTTCTCTCGGTGATTATGGCCAGCTTCTAACGTTAGCTAAAGCTATCAAATGACAGCTTTCATTTGCATCGATAAAGTTCAACTATTTTAATTACCTTTCCAGCAGAAAACAGACAACTTCAGAGCCGCTTTGAAAATATTTGTCCTGCATCAGCTCCTTCCATCTGGGAAAATCCACAACAATTATATCATTTATTTCTGCCATCATCTGTCTGTATCTGTCCCCACGTCTGGCTTCATCATGTTGTCAAGAATCACACGCTGTAGGCTCATGCTAAATAATAGGTGTAGTCCTCCATTTGTCCAAATTTCACTTCTCTTCTTACTTATAATAAACCAGATGACTACTCAGAGACTGTATATTACTATTATTAGTTCCTCCTCTTCTTCCTCGTACGCATTCAAAGGAGTGACGTGCATCTACCGGCTTCTACACTGCCGGAATTATACAAGCAAAAGAAGAACACTGTGGTGACGAAACGTGCTCTGTAGCACTGTTTGTTTATACACCACTGAAAACATAGTTATGGATCTTATATTGCATTTCTGTCGACAAATCCTCAGAAATATTACACACTGAACCTTTAATATGTACATCAAATCATCGTGGACTTCAGCTTGGCGTTCAACACCATCATCCCGGATATCCTCAGCACCAAACTCACCCAGCTCACTGTGCCAGCCTCCACCTGTCAGTGGATCACAGACTTCCTGACTGACAGGAGTCAGCAGGTGAGGCTGGGAAACATCACATCCAGCACCCGGACTATCAGCACTGGCGCCCCCCAGGGGTATGTACTCTCCCCACTGCTATTCTCCCTCTACACCAACGACTGCACCTCAGGAGACCCATCTGTCAAACTCCTGAAGTTCGCTGATAACGGTCTCATCTGGGACGGTGATGAGTCGGCCTACAGACGGGAGGTTGATCAGCTGGATCTCTAGTGCGGCCAGAACAACCTGGAGCTTAACACGCTCAAAACTGTGGAGATGATCGTGGACCATTCTAAACAGCCCTGTGGAATCCAGGTTTCTGGGTTCCACTATATCCCAGGACCTGAAGTGGGAGTCCAACACGGACACCATCATCAAGAAGGCCGAGCAGAGGATATACTTCCTGTGCCAGCTCAGGAAGCTCAACCTGCCTAAGGAGCTGCTGATCCACTTTTACACAGCCATCATTCAGTCTGTCCTCTGCATGCCCATCACTCTCTGGTTTGGATCTGCCACCAAAAAGGTTAAGGACAGACTACAACGGACAGTCAGGACTGCAGAAAAGATCATCGGTGCCAACCTGCCCTCCATTCAGGATTTCCAGAGTCAGGAAATGGGCAGGAAATATCACTGCAGATCCATCTCACCCCGGACACAACCTGTTCCAGCTCCTCCACTCTGGTAGGCCTTACAGAGCACTGTACGCTAAAACCAAGAGACTCAGGAACAGTTTCTTCCCACAAGCCATCACTCTGATGAACAGCTGATTTCTGACTCACGGTGTCAGGAACACTTATTATTTATTCACCATTCTCTATTTCAGTGCTGTTCATACTGTTATATTGTCATATTACAGATACTGTATACCAAATACATCTACCTCAAGTTATTACTCCTGCACAAAATACTTAGTAGTTATTTATTCCAGCATCCTTTGCACTATGCTTCATTGCACTGTGTACATGTGTGCATGTATATGTACCTGTATATCACATCCACCTCCGACATGTACATACTCCTGCATCCTTTGCACTCTGCTCACTGCACTACTTTTCAGTATGTCTATATTGTTTTTGTTCCTAGTGTGTATATTTGTCTGAAGTGTGTGTCTGACTTTATTTTATTTTTATTAATGTGATTTTGTATAAATATCGTCAGCAATGTACAATCCAGAGTCAAATTCCTCGTATGTGTACATATATCTGGCAATAAAGCTGATTCTGATTTATCACCACTGATGAACCCAACAAAGAAAAGTATATCGTTTTAAACAGTAACATTACTTGGAGGTGCATGCAATTCTCAGAAGGCAGGCAGAACTCTGCAGCTGCTACTCCCTCGGCTCTTTGCCTTTGAACCTTCGTGTCACTCCCTCCAGTTCAGGTGCAGCCACTTACACTAATAGTATCTGACTAGTATCTAACTTAACAGTGACTCAGTTACAGTACGAAGCTAACTCTAACATTGCCCGTTGGGAAAGCTTAACGTTAACGTAATTTCAGCTAACTGATGAACTCAGCCTTTTCCAACTTCACACAGATGCCTTTTGTTAAAAGTATTCCATCCATCCATCCATTGTCATCCGCTTATCCTGTGTACAGGGTCGCGGGGGGCTGGAGCCAATCCCAGCTTACTTGTTAAAATTATTATCACCCTAAAACTAAAACCATTTTTTGTACCAGGGTGTAAACATGTTTTTTTCTGCTGTAAAGTTGGGCATTTTAACATGCAGCCAGCCTCAAGTGCCCACTCCAAGAATTGCAGTTTTTGGCCTCATTTTTTCGATCGGAGGTTGCCGCTGTTGGAGACCATAGACAGTATATTACTGGACGAAGCCACACCACGGGTTTTGAATAAAGAGCACTGAAGCCAGTTTTGGTCCTGTGAAATAGTACTACAGGGCTACTTCCTGTTGGCACCAGTGTCTACTGCACATGATCGCGCAGGAAAAGCGTGGTTTAATGACGTAGAGCAATGGCAGAACCACAGTAATTCCGTTATGTGAGAGTACATCTCTCACATGCACCGGGATGTCACAGGGTTTTGACATCATTTTTGGGTCTGTTTTCTATTACTAATATGTATTAATTTAATACTTTACTTTGCCTTTTAGGTTATGGTTTACCATTTAGAATGTGTGCTTCCATGGGAGCTGCTATTGTTGTGTGAGTCATTCGGCTGCTACTCGTGAAGTCGGTGTACATATTTTTTCTCCAAGTAGGAAATCCGACTTCAATTGACGTTCCATCGTACTTTTTGTAGTTAAAGTCAGAAATTATTTCCCAGTTCCGAGTTGCCTGGAACGCAGCATTTCCCTTGTTGGAGACGCTTTCGTCATCAAACGCTTCCTTCCCTAGTGCTCCCTTTGTCCCGCCCTATTTATCTGTAATTTAGTGATTTTTCTGACAATCCCTGTCATTCTATACTATTAGAAAAACAGTACAGACGCTAATACAGCCTAAACGTTAGTTCTCTGGTATATATACTTGTATTTGAAAACCCTATATCACGCTTAAAGTGATTATTTTAGTGGCCTGTCAATCAAGAGTCTGTCATCAGGCTAGGTTGAGACTGCAGATCTTTTCCACGTCAGTGTGTTTACTAAGACCACCAAGACCAGACTGACAGCTGCAGGAAAGTCTTCAATTTATTCACTTCTGGAGCATTTCTTAAAGAATGAATGCATAAGCGGTGTTTGGGAACATTACGTTATCACGCAGTGGAATGTCCGACATTTTTAGTTTTTCTTTTTGTAGTAGTGAACTGAACTTTGGTCTTCTTCATTCACTGTTGGCCGGCTAGCGTGCCGAGCTAGCCTAGCATTAGCTACAACAGGACTCCATCTTTGAAATACCAGCCACACACAGGTAATATATTTGTATAGAACCAGACAAGCGTGTTTATATTCTTGTATACATACCGGCGCTTTGCTGTAATAAATCAAGGAAGTAAGTTACGGTTGTCTGAGAGGAAAAACGCTGAAGATACAGCTAACTTAACTGAAGCCAGTTGCCACGCTAGCTAGTAGAGCTAGGTAGTTAACTTAGTTGTCAGATTTCTGAGCAGGTAACGTTAATTTGCCTTGTTTAAGCAACGAATATGTCTTTAGTACGTTGGTGGATATGAACTAAATTGTTGTCATGTGTCCTCTCATTGTGTGTCCCCGAGGACTGTCAACGGTCTTTCAACATCTTAGTGTGGTGGATAGCGAACGTTAGCCTGTTAGCTTTGCTGTTGATACAGACTTTACCTAGTTAACGTTTAACGTTATCTAGTTAGCCAGCGACCACCTACCTGGCCCATGGCAGCAAACTCCGTGGCCTGTATTACTTGCTTTTGGTGTATGACTGTATTATGTTGCACTTCCACACATATAACATTATGACGGTGTCACCATGACATGCTATTTTTCTTACCTTTGAGATTGCTTGGGGCTTGGCTTTAGTTGGCTGTATTTCTGACAAGTTACAGGCAAAGATGTTGTGTATTGTGACATCCAGCTGGTTGTTATCACACAGCAACATGAACTAATAGCTGTCACTGATATCTAAGGGCAAGGAAATCTAGAGTGTACTCCACAACATGCAGTGATTAATTGGTTTCATTGCTAGCCTAACCGTGAGCATCACTAGGAAAGCTGTTATCGTGCAAAGATAAAAGACATCACTTTGTAAAATAAGCTGTTCCACAAACACTTTTAAAGCTAGATATGTACTCTTCCAAACAGCTAGGAGCCCCTTTAGCCCCTGAGCTTTCTGGGAAATGTAGTATAAGGTAAAGGTACTGGTCTGGGGTGCGTTTCCTGTACAACCACAGAAGGTAGCATTGAACTATCTTGGTACGATGCATCGTTATACTAACAAACACCTGAAGTACAACCGTTTCCCAAAACTGTCGTACCCTGTTGAAACCACCGTGGTTTGAACTAACTTAGTTTGAACCAACGTAGTTGGAGCTAACATGTTTCTAGGTGTGTTTGTCTGATTTTCACAGCACGAAACTCACAAAACGTTGTCATATTCTGTCTAAATATGTCAATTGTGGCCAATATTAAGTGACATTTTTATGCTAACTTATTATTTAGGCTTTTCATATCATAGTCGTACTGGCAATAACAAGAAAATCAACAGTAGTATTAATGAAATCAGCAATATATATAACCTAATCATTTTATTTAGCCTACATATTGTCTGTAGCTTAGAAGGGAAAAAATTAAGAACTATTAGTGATTACAAGACATTTAGTAAAATAGGTTTAATCTGCAAGTATCCTCTTGTCGACACTTTACACTATTATGAATCCCTTGGCCGCATCTGACATCTAGGTTTTGAGAATAGCTCAGTGTGATAAGTGTCTGAGCTTACACATGTTCTCTATTGAGACAGACACGGGTTCGACTCCTGTGAGTCTCTATTTATCTTTGTTATAAAGGCAACGAAAACATTCAGGGATTTATTTATTACAGTACTTTCATTGATTTTATGCTGTGCCTTTTTATATTTATGTTTGTAATGAAGACTAGAGAACACCCATCGTCCTCAGAGGTCTGGAAATGCATACATTAAAAGTCTTGTCTTTACATACTCCGTTCTGTCCTTTTACCTTTCTACTGGGTGACTAATATTAAATCAAGTTATTGTGAACAGTTGGGTAATCTGCGAGAAAAACGCATGATGTTTGTAGATGGTCTACAGATAGGCTACTGAAATAATGCAACCCTACCCATGAGCCGACAAATACATTTAAAAGTACTTTTACAACTACATTTAAAAATACCTTCACTTTAAATATGTTTGTACAGCAGGATTATCAAACAGTCCCTGCTTAGCACATATTATGACATTGCATTTTCTGCTATCTGTGATGTAGTCACAGTGAACTAAGCTTCTAACCACAGGTCAGGAGCTGTAGTTCAAACTATGCAACTTAACGACAGTTGGTGTGAACGTTCGTCGGAACTATGGTTTCGAGGAACACCTGCGTCGCTTAACGATGGTTCGTACCATATAAGTTACCAACTTAGTTACCTCCATAATTCGAACTAGGGTTTTGGGAAACTTGTTTTCCTGTCTGGTATCGAGCCACACAACACAGTACCATCCCACCGGAACCTTGCAGAACCCCTTAACTTTTTCTGCTCAACAAAGTGGCTGTAGTAAGACCTCATGGTGGCTTGGGCTATTATTCATATGTTAGAAAAAAGTGCTTCTTCCTAGGACTGCAACTAACCATTATATTCGTTGTGGATTAGTCTCTTGATAATTTTCTTGATTTGGTTGTTTGCTTCATAAAATGTCAGATTGATTTAATAGTTGACAACTAATGGATTAATCAGTGTCATGCACAGTAAACACTGTCATAAATTGATCAACAGCTTAAATAAAACATTGCTTATGCTGATTAGGCTGTGTTTTCTCTTTATTTTCTTAAACACTAAATAAAAGTGACTGAAGGCAAACTGTAATCTAGTGCAGAGCTGTTCACTTGTCAAACATTTAACCTAAACTGACTTGGTTTTACTAAGTTTACTGTACCTACCTGCTGATCAGGACCTAACATCAACGATTCACATTTGAATTGGTAGTTTAAAAACCTTAATCGGTACATCCCTGGTGAAGACTCATTTTATATGACAGTCTTATCAAGTATAAGCCTATCACTCTGTGCATACATCCTAGCCTTTACCTATCATACCTTCATCCTCTTTTTATTTTGAATAGGTTGCTTAGCATGAATTTGAAAGATTGTGGCCTCAGCCAGCCAGTCTGTACAACCAGAAATCTCTGTGTGAAGTAAGAGTATTATCTAGCATAGCTATCGTGACACAAGGGAAAAGGTTAATCCAACCATTTTGAGATACTGTTTGTCAAATAAGATCAGTATGTCATTTTTATTCTGTTTGGTTATCCATATTGGTTTTAGGCATTGTCAAGGTATGCATGGAAATTTGCTGTTTGGTTCTTAGATTCTGTATACATTTGAGGATGAGAGTTCTTAGTTTCATAAAATGAATTCCGGTGTACCCACATGAATTGTTGTAGACAAAATATGTTTGCCATGAGAAACACTATCGGACATTCTTGCTTGATGGCTCAGTGGTCTGTAGGACATTATTTATGGTAGCCAGTATATGTCGATCTTTCATTGAAGTTCTGTCTTCTGTAGGCTTGTATGCTAGGGTTGTGCGATGTCTACAAAACTTCCATCAGATGATGTCTACATTGAAACATTGGGATGGACGATGGCATCGGGTACGCGGGCGGGGGGGTAGCAGTCGTCTTATATGTGCATATGTTTCCTCGTACGTTACAAGTCACGGTGGATGTTTTACAAGCACGGACCAGGTAAAGTGCTGAATACACAGGGTGCAGATGTTAGTTTCGGTTGGGAGATAGGCTGCATCATTAACAAGCACCGTGGTAACGGATCGCAGGTGGAAAAATGCAGGAAAAGGTCTTTTAGTGTTAGGGTTATTAGACTTTATAAAACGTGCTGCTGATGGAGAAAGTGGAGTAGACGGGCGCAGGGGAGACAGAGAGAGGCGGGGCACGCCGGTCGGTGTGTTTACCTGAGGTGTTGGCCTCTTGTGTATCTGAGTGTGGGAGAAGATAATTCTGAGGTCCGAAGCATATTTAAAATTTATAACAATTATGTTCCTGGTGATTAAAACCTGCTGGTCTAATGTGAAAAATGTAGATTTCTTTGCCGGGGGGGCGTGGTTTTACAATCACGATGCCTGCTCAACCATCGCCCATCTGTCAGCCATTGCTGATGGACGATGGCATCGTCTATCGGCCCAACCCTATTGTATGCTAGTTCAGTACCCTACAAGTTTCATGAATTGAATAGTTGAATAATTGATACACACACCCAGCCACGCACATTAAAATATTTTGATTATCTAAAGATCCATTGTGATGTTTGCTCAGTAGTGAATTTTGAGGACTGTAATGGTTAACACAGGCTATAAATAAAATACATTTTCTGATAATAACCACAGCATTATTGATACAGATATGTTGACAATATTTAGATGAGTTCACGTTCTTCCCTTAGTCAAGTGGTTTGTAGTGCTTAAAAAAAAAATCTCATTCACACCAGACAAGATATTTAATTCCATCCCACTCTGACCTCTGTTACAGCATCACTGTTCTCAGAACTAGCTGTCCTGTCCTAAAAAGATAGCAGACTGCCTTCACCACGCTGACTGAATCAGTTGCTCCATGAGGATTATGCAGAAAGAAAATGGCATTGTTTTTATTTATTGAATCATCCATTTTTATTTCCTTTGTAGTCCATGGGCCCAGGCCAGAATTTTCACTAACCGGTACCACCCAAGGTGGCAAATTGTAGTTAGATTTAAAAAAAAAGTCTATATCAAATTTCAGCATGATAACCTTTTTTTGAGTGGTAGCTTTGTCACAGAAATCAGCCTTCAATGACTCGAACCGGTGTGCCAAAGAATGAAAAATCTTGTCACTTTATTTGAATAGAACATGCCATACAAAGAAAAACAAAATAATTCTACCTTGTTTATAAACTTACTTGTTCATTTGATCATCATCATTGCAAACTGTCAACTTTTTGTAAACTGACCAATCACAGCCTGTATGGGATGTGCAAACTTGAGAAATGTTAAACTTGTTGTTATGCATGAATGGGTATGATTATTGATGAGTTAGTACTTAGCATTAACAAGTGGAAGACTGATCACCATGTAGAGCAGTTTTCTTGCACAAGGATTTAATGAAGGAAACCAACCCACAAAAAGTCCAACTGGAATTATTTTTATACTAGTGGTCAGGTAGGTACGTTTATTGTCACAATATAACAAGTTATAGCGTGAAATTGAGTTTTGTAACTCCCTTCTACTAAATAGCAGAAAATAAATAATACAGAATCAATTATAAATTAAAGCTGCAAGCAGCGTTGAGCGGGCCCTCGACTCAAGCTGACTCTGCTCTGGAGTTATCAATGCAAAAATCACACAGGTGACGTGTTGAAAATATCTCACAAAGTTTGGTTGAGGTGTCAGTTATTCAGTTCAAAGTGGCTGACTTCCTGTGTCCTTTCCAGATGCCAGTAAATGGCCCTATCACTATGACATGTAAGTCTCTAAGAGGTTAACTTGTGAATTCTGAGATAGATCTGACTATGTCTAGTCCATTTACATGCTACTTCCTCTTTCATGGCACAACATCAATTCAACAGCACGCCATGGACACACGGTTTGATCAATCAAAAAAAAGCTTCGCAATTTAACATCGCAAGACTCTTAAGATGGCGTTACCCACATTTAAAGTCAATCAGGTTAAAGCTGTAGGAGGAGTTCGTTAAAGTACAGAGCCTGTAAACGTGAAAAACGCTTGTAAATAATTCAAAATGGCCAAGAGGCTTATTTTTAAGTCTGGAGAAGATACATCTGTTTCTCAAGTTTGGTAGAGCTAGGTAAAACATACGGCAGGGGCTGCTTTTTTGAAATTTTGTAGGCGGCGCTATTGAGTCGCTTTTCCACAACCACTCCCCCAAACCATGTCAGCCAATACAAAACAACCGTTCTGATGAGCGATCAAAATCTCTGATGAAATTTCTGATTAAAAAATGTAAAATGAAGCAAGAAGCACTAAATGCCTGACTTCCGGATGAGCAAAATCTCATTAAAAAGCGGAAACATTGCAATTTTCACCAGTTCTGACGTGTGTGCAAACTTTCATGACATTTCAATTATCCTAAGATCACGAAAAATGCGTTTCCGAGGGAGAATATTAATAGAGATGTATAATAGAGAATTAGTCCGACTGACTTCAGATTGTCGCTGTCTACTCTAAACCCGTTGATAATTAAAAGTTGTACAAACGTTTTTTGTAGAACGGCGTGCCGTCCAAAATCAATGATTTGCCATAAAACAGGAAGTTGTTGTAACTTCAGTGTACATTCTCACATCTGCACCAATCTTTACATGTTTGATAAGAGTTCTGCCCTGAATACATCTACAAGGCAAAATTCACCTGTAGTCACAACAGGAAGTATGTTTATGCTGTGATGAACCACTTCTTGCTGGTCGGCTATATCTACTTCAAATCTATCTCCGAAAACTCTTAACACATTGATGTCATGTTGTAAAGCCCGTAAGTTTTCCATCAACAGTGTATCCTTTGCGGGGTGGCGAAGTTCCATGGTTTGCTGTGAAACAGGAAGTCGTTGTAACTTAACTGTACATGCTCAAATCTGTACCAAACTTTGTGTGCTTCATAACTGTCCTGCCCCAAACTCATCTACATGTCAATCTCCACCTGTAGTTGTAACGCCACGTGCTCTGCTGTGCCACAAAGGGGACCTTCGTGCTGTATACGAAGCGCATAGCAAATTCACACCTCCACGCGCTGCATGTGCGAGGGCCCGCCCAACGCTGCTTACAGGGTTAATTGTTGTTTGAAATCCGGCCGATGATGGCGGTGTCATCCTCAAACTTCACAACAGAGTTCTCTGTCGATATTGACTAACAGCTACGTACAGCGTGTTAGCCTCGAAAACCCAGCTGTATTCTAACATTAACTTAGCTGTACATATAGATTATTTTTCAATTAATCTAACAATTATCTTTTCGATTAGTCGATTAATCTAATGACCTAATTTTGTTTATTCCAAAGAAAGAAAAGTTGCCTATTACTCAATTAACATACCAATTTATCCAAAATAAATATCAAAAACATGTCTAATCAATAAATCTATATTTTATTCAATCATCCTGATGAAGCACATTAGAATAATGACAATAGCAGCAAATCTTAAAATGAATAAAATTTCTACGTCACTGCTGTGTGGCAAAATGACATTAATTAGGCAATATTGAGTACTGCAGTATGAAAATCAAATGTATTTCTGCATCAGTGAACAACTGAAAGCTTGTCTGTAATGTTAGATGTTGAAAATATGAAACGGCCGATTGTTAAATGACACGCGGTGTAACGTTGCAGAAATTACTTTTAACATGAGGGCAATAAACATTTTAAGGGACTACGTGTCCTCGTGCTTGTGTGGCGACAGAAGGTAAATATGATTTGCGGTGCTGCTGTCTAGACAAAGTGCTGCAGGATACTTTCGTTTCACATATTCGTGGACAGCAGTTGTGCTGCAGTGACGCTGTTTCCAGTTCAGAGAGCTCATGGAGGAGCACGTTGTTGAGTGTCTGTCTGAAATACTCCAAACTTTAGACAGTCAAAAGTCTTGTAGCTGGAGCTTGTCCGGGGGAATCCCACTAACACCGGATGCAGTGACGCTTCGACGCACGTAATGCACGTCGACGTATTTACGTAATCGATTACGTCGACGAATTGCCACAGCCCTACTTACATGCTTGCTAATAACTTTCTTTAAGCTGGGTCTCTGACATGACAGTATTGTGTTGGAGGTAGGGAGAGAGAGCAAGTGAGAGAGAAGGACGAGGGAGAGGATGTGCTGTGTGAATAAGCGCTGCCTGCAGCTCTGCAGTCAAATAAGATTTTAAATAGGCCCAGTAAAAAGAAAAAAAAAAAAGAACAATCAATATGTGGTGGTCACCGTTGATATTGTGGCGGGCCGCCACAAATAAATGAATGTATGGGAAACACTAACTTATCTTCTCATGTTCAAAACTTTGTACATTCAGAATCTCTCGCACATATCTGTGTTCACTGACATAACAAAAGTCGGAATATTAATGTCATTAGCCTATTTAAAGACAATTCATAATATTTTACTACATGCCCTATACTGCATCACGTTAGTGATTCGCTGGAAGTATCCCCTCGACCGTCTAACAGACACAGAACCGGGGGAAAACAAAACTAACCGACAACACCTGTGATCAAGCAAAAATCTCACGAACAATTCCACACACATGTTAACTTCAGCACCTCTGAGAAAGTGCAGGTTACAATCCCCAGCAGAGCAAGTCACGACTTCAGTTTTTAATGTTCCATTTTTATAAGCCTACTGAAACTACTTGTATATGTCCGCTTTGGCACAAACTGTTTGTAACTCACAGCGCGAGGTGGGTCCACGTCACTTGCTGGTGTCGCAGCAAAGTTGCTTTCAGGGTAGGTCCGACAGCGGAGTATCCATCTTGTAAATGTGTAACCACTGCGATAACAAGATGTTCATGGTGTATTCCTCAGAGAAATAAACACTTTTCCACTGTAATACCAAGAAAGAGTCAATTTTCAGTTTACACAGTAAACACCATGTGGGTAAAATTTTACAGGTCATACTCTGACTTCCCATTTCTGTGAAGGCAGCGCGGAGTAGCTGACGGATAAAAAATACACCATCTCGTCCAGTAGCAGTGGACTAAACTGGCAGGTGTTAATGTTGCAGACCACAGTTTTTTTGCAAATAATTTAAAGTTTAAACTATTATTGTTGTGAATTTTCTGGTATAAACTTGCCTTAGAATTTCCAACTAAAACGCCCCCCAAAAGCAGCTCAGTGCCCCCCTTTCCAAAATATTGCTTCCAGCGCCCCCCATCGTCCTCGGAACGCCCCCTGGGGGGTGGTACTGCCCCCGTTGAGAAACAATAGCCTAAACACTCAGGCATTGTCCTGCACCAGGAGGTACCCAGGGCCAACTGCACCAGCACAAGGTCTGACCATGGCTCTGAGGATTTTTTTTCCAGGTACCTAGCAGCAGTCAGTGGCTAGCAGGTCTGTGTGGCCTTCCAAGGATATGCCTCCCCAGCCAAATTTTTTCAAATTTCTAGGTCGTTGAATGTCCCACAATCATGGTTCTGTCGTCACCAGACAGTCTTGTCTGTCTGAAAAGATATCCTCTGTAAAATATTTTTCCTTAATATGAAGGCTAATATAAAATGTATATAATATTATTTCAAATGATGGCAGATCTAGATAGCCCTGACTATTTTGAAAAAAGTGATATACAGTATAGCATGTATGGCTTCCTCTCACAATAGACTTCACACAAACCTACTGTATGGATACTGTAGGATGATAATGGCAAAAACAATTATTGTCCCAAACAATTAGTAAAGCTACTCATTTAAAAACATTATCATGTATTAAAGTACTTATATGGACCCTACAAACAAATGGGTTGCAAAGAGATTTTGCCACCTTAGGGGCTACCAAATTCTGGCTTGAACTGAACTGGAAGGCTCATTATGAAACTGGGGACAGACATTAAAAGAAGAGTGACAGACATTAAAAACCCTCCAGAAAACACACACAAAAAAAACTAGGTATATGTGCTGTGACAGATTTTTTATAAAATACCCATTATAATTAATCTACACCTGATGACTGTGAACCACCATATCTTGATATGAGAATTTTGTAACAATACAGTTATATAGAGGGACTTGAAGTGATAATTTAAAAGAAAAGAATCATTGCCAAGCACTGGCTTGAATTTCTGCCCAAACCAAACATCCTCCCCTCTGTTTTTCTCTCAGAAAAGCAGCATGGTGGACAAGAATATCTACATCGTCCAGGGTGAAATTAGTAGTGTTGTTGGAGCTATCAAGAGGAACTCCAGATGGAATACGCACACTCCACTGGTAAGTTAAACACAACAGTTATGTCTCAGGTTTTGCATTCCTGAAAAGGTAATTTGTGACTCTGAGAAGAGCAGTTTCTGTGCTATGATTATTTCTGAAAAACTGACTGACACTTTTCAAAATCACTACTGTCTGACAAGCCTTCCATAAGCTGTAATGAAACTGTTGTTTCTAAGATATTCACAGTAAGTGGGAGAATGGAATCTGGTCTGTAGTTGTATAGGATCAAGGCCAGGTTAGGAACACAGCCAGTAAGAAAGGCAGGAAATGTGTGTGTGTGTGTGGGGGGGTTAAGTGGCCAGGAATAAATTAAGCTTGATATCCTGTATGGCCTATGAGAGATGTCCTGGGTCAAAACCATTGGTTCTAATTAGATTCCGACCAATATGGGTTTTTGGGGGCTGATGCTGAAATTGAAAGCTGTTCTGTATGTGGGCTATAATACCTTTCCCTAAATGGATTATGTTAATAAAATAGATTAGAGTCTCAACAACTTAACATGTAAACAATTTCACATCAATAAATATTTCCTGCAGGAATGTTCAACTTTTTCAGCCATCTATAAACAGAGAGATTGAGAGAGAATAATTTACCTTACACATATTCAGCTGTAATGAATTCTTCCAATGTAGCATATTCATATCTAGTTTATCTCTTTACCAGCACTCTTTAATTATAACCAATGCTACGAGAAACCATTTCTCACCCATCTGGATGTAAAACATACCGTCATACTACATGACTGTCAACAACCAGTAATGTTACTTGCAACTATAATTACTTTTCACATTTGAAAGAGGAGCTAGATAACTTTGTCTGGCAAGAAGCTGTGTTAAATTCTTGTTCGCCTCACGTTTATTTACATGTCCCGTCTGGTTTAATCATATCTGACACACCGACTGTAACTACAAACAAACTGCTCGCAGAGATATTTTAGAATACATTAAACTACACTGCTCAAAAAAATAAAGGGAACACTTAAACAACACAATGTAACTCCAAGTCAATCACACTCCTGTGAAATCAAACTGTCCGCTTAGGAAGCAACACTGATTGTCAATCAATTTCACATGCTGTTGTGCAAATGGTATAGACAACAGGTGGAAATTATAGGCAATTAGCAAGACACCCCCAATAAAGGAGTGGCTCTGCAGGTGGTGACCACAGACCACTTCTCAGTTCCTATGCTTCCTGGCTGATGTTTTGGTCACTTTTGAATGCTGGCGGTGCTTTCACTCTAGTGGTAGCATGAGACGGAGTCTACAACCCACACAAGTGGCTCAGGTAGTGCAGCTCATCCAGGATGGCACATCAATGCGAGCTGTGGCAAGAAGGTTTGCTGTGTCTGTCAGCGTAGTGTCCAGAGCATGGAGGCGCTACCAGGAGACAGGCCAGTACATCAGGAGACGTGGAGGAGGCCGTAGGAGGGCAACAATCCAGCAGCAGGACTGCTACCTCTGCCTTTGTGCAAGGAGGAGCACTGCCAGAGCCCTGCAAAATGACCTCCAGCAGGCCACAAATATGCATGTGTCTGCTCAAACGGTCAGAAACAGACTCCATGAGGGTGGTATGAGGGCCCGACGTCCACAGGTGGTGGTTGTGCTTACAGCCCAACACCGTGCAGGACATTTGGCATTTGCCAGAGAACACCGAGATTGGCAAATTCGCCACTGGCGCCCTGTGCTCTTCAGATGAAAGCAGGTTCACATGTGACAGACGTGACAGAGTCTGGAGACGCCGTGGAGAACGTTCTGCTGCCTGCAACATCCTCCAGCATGACCGGTTTGGCAGTGGGTCAGTAATGGTGTGGGGTGGCATTTCTTTGGGGGGCCACACAGCCCTCCATGTGCTCGCCAGAGGTAGCCTGACTGCCATTAGGTACAGAGATGAGATCCTCAGACCCCTCGTGAGACCATATGCTGGTGCGGTTGGCCCTGGGTTCCTCCTAATGCAACACAATGCTAGACCTCATGTGGCTGGAGTGTGTCAGCAGTTCCTGCAAGAGGAAGGCATTGATGCTATGGACTGGCCCGTCCGTTCCCCAGACCTGAATCCAATTGAGCACATCTGGGACATCATGTCTCGCTCCATCCACCAACGGCACGTTGCACCGCAGACTGTCCAGGAGTTGGCGGATGCTTTAGTCCAGGTCTGGGAGGAGATCCCTCAGGAGACCATCCGCCACCTCATCAGGAGCATGCCCAGGCGTTGTAGGGAGGTCATACAGGCACGTGGGGGCCACACACACTACTGAGCCTCATTTTGACTTGTTTTAAGGACATTACATCAAAGTTGGATCGGCCTGTAGTGTGGTTTTCCACTTTGATTTTGAGTGTGACTCCAAATCCAGACCTCCATGTGTTGATAAATTTGATTTCCATTGATAATTTTTGTGATTTTGTTGTCAGCACATTCCATTATGTAAAGAAAGGAGTATTTAATGAGATTATTTCATTCATTCAGATCTAGGATGTGTTATTTTAGTGTTCCCTTTATTTTTTTGAGCAGTGTATTAAATATTTTAACTGCTCATTTTGTCGTTACCGCTCCTCCACTGATATACATAGCATTAGCTTTGTGGCTAATTTAGCAACGGGCAGTGTTAGCTGCTGAAAGTGATGTTGGAGAATATTTAGGAGTGATGAACTAGGGAGAAATGACCAACTCACCGGTAACACAGCCACTCTCCGTGTTGTTTCTACGTGCTCCAGTTTGCTCCAGTCTGCTCCAGTCAGCGGACTGTTTTCTTTTGTGGTTTTCCTGGTGTGGCAGTGATGTTAACAGTGGAGCTGCAAAGTGCCCTCTGGTGGACAAACTGTGCAACCCTCATGACATGAGTGAAGGATCTGTCTCTCCGTTTCTTTTTCAATAGTCATATATCAGCTGTTATAAACGTGATGCCGATATGAGATGATCCTAATGGGGTTCCCAGCCCTGGTTGTACTCAAGGACAGGCTTCATTAACCTGCTACTTGCATGAAAAATAGTTGCGGTCTTGTCTTCAAGAACTGGGAAAACTGCTGCTCCACCTTGTTAAACTATAATGCAACAAGTTATGTCATGTCTCTGTCAAGAGTAGAGATGCACTGATTTACTGGAAGTTGACGTTTTTCAGCTTGATCAGCCATGACCGTTGACAGTCAGCTGATCAGTTTCACATGATGTTTCACGTCAAGCACACATTGACACAGGCAGTAAAAGACTACAGTCACAAACATACACACATGCTAATACATGGCGTCGGCGTGGAACTTCTTCACTGCGAGCAAAAAAGACACAATGCTTGCAATTTGTATATAGCTGTACGGCCAAAACAAGCCGTGTTTCCCCGCACAGATGTTACTTGGGCGGACTGCCCGGGTGTACTATCAGCTGCCACAGGAGGCTACATTTGGCGACATTTTAGCACTTTGCAGAGAAACACTGACAACTAGCACGGTGGATATTTTAAAACATGGACCGGGTAGAGCAACAGTAAACACACCACTGGTCTCCATTATTGGCGACGACATTAATAACAAGCCTCCTCCACACGCAGTTCACCTGCTGCTGTGAATATGGAATCGAGAGTGGAGAAATCCATGAGTTGTGTTTCTTGGGCGACTTTATAAAACTGCTGAGGATGAAAGTCAACAGAGCAGACGGAAACAGGGAGAGAGAGACAGGCGTGTGTCTGAGAGTTAACACTAAAATAAGTACAAAATTATTAAAATGTAATATACAAATATTGTAGAAACATTACTTTAACAAACGCTTGTTCAAACGGGCAGCACCCAGTTTATACAGAAACATGGAAAAAAAACAAATTAATCAAAACTCGATTTATTAATTTGATCAGTCTCTTCAGAAAGAATGTAATTCTTTTGATGGATTGACCTTGTCCTCTTCTTCAAAGAAAACATACAGACAACTTCTTAAATTAGGGTATTTATAGCTAAATACCTAATAAATGAGGATTAATAAGGAAAAGAAACAAATCCAACTTCAAAACGGCAGTCCACAAACCAACGCGTGACGTCACGATGACTACGTCCACTTATGTACAGTCTATGCTTGTTTCAGACAGAGGCTGAAATGAAGGCCTATATGAAGAAATATTATTCATTAAATCATGCAAAGCTGCCATACAGGAGTCACGAAACTACAATATAGGACTAGAAAAGCAGTATAATAGGTCTCCTTTAACCAGCTGGGGGTGGGGGGTAACATGCATTAATAGGCTACAGCGTACCTACAGCTTAGATTTGACGCAGAAGTATAAATTGACCCTTAGAGGAGGTCTGTTCACCTCGTAAACTCTGCTGTGTGAATGTGAGACGTGTGTTGTGATCAATACAATATACTATTTGGGATCCTAATAAAGAAAGGAGGAAGGAAAGAATTTTCTATTAAAGAAAGTTAGAAATTTTTTTGAATGCAGTCAGTTAAATTTCTTAAAGAAAGAAAATTAGAATCGGCAGGTCAGAAAAATCGGAAATCCGAATTGGACCAAGGAAATTGCCATCAGTTCATTTCTATTAAATAGTCAACATGTTGGGCCCTTTTTGACCATCATAAATAGTCATATGGATACATATTTGAATCAGCTATTTCTCATTTTATGCAGAATATACTTAGTAAAGTGATATACATACTAGAAATGGTTGGTTTTATAGCACACATTCAACCTAATACATCACAAGAGTGAGCTTTCAAGTATCAAATTAGACTCAAATAATCTTGCAAATGATGTCTTTTTTTTCTCTGTCCAGGATGAAGAACAGGACCCATTACTCAACAGCTTTGGCCACCTCAAGGAAATACTCAACAACATAAAAGGTAAGTGGGCCCGTGGTGATGTAAGTCAGAATCAGGAACTTTATTGCCAAGTAGTTTTTTACACATACGAGGAATTTGCTTTGGTGATAAGGTGCTACATGTAAACAGACATACAGTTGACCTAAGTAAATGTAGAAAATAGGGCTTGGGCACGTTAACTCATTATTATCGCGTTAACGCATTAATTAATTAATGCAGACAATTATTTTATTGCACGTTAACGCAATTTACTTTCAAAATTAATTATTTTGAAAGTCTGTTGCTCACTGGCTCTGAATACACATAGGCCAACAGTCAAACCATGGGTCACAGGAGGGGTGGGATGTTGATCAACCTGCAAATCACCCACCCAAACAAGCAGTGGAGGGAGGCTTCGGCACGATGCAGCGTGTGGGAGAATTAAGACAGCGCTCCGTGAGTAAACGGCAGGCGCCCTATTGAGAGTAACCATGGCAAGGGTTAGATAAAGGGTAATGCCCTGGCAGTGGCAAATAGCTTTGGTTTAAAATTTGATTTGATTACATTAATGTTTAATTTGAGATTTACAAGAAATATTTTATTGCTACTGTGTAAAGGGAATACTGCTGGTAAAAAGCACCTTATTTGTTTAAAGTGTTTACAAACCACATGTTATTGCACTTTTGTGTATTTAGCAGTATATTTAAATTAAAAGTGCGCAATACAGTACTTTAGAATTCATTGTTCAATTGCGATTAATCGCGATTAAAAATTTTAATCGTTGCCCAGCACTAGTAGAAATATATAAATATGGAGTTAGTCAAGAATAATAAAAGAATATAGAAAAGTATTTGCAGAGAAAGAACAATGTGGCAAATATTTACATGTGCCTTACTCCGGTTTGTGTTGTGACATATTCGGTGCTTAAAGTTCTCTGGCACAGTGCGGGGCATTTTCGTATTCGACAATATATAATCATGTCCGTGGAAAATCTTGCGTATTTTTTTTTTAACAGTCGTGTTATATGTGTGTGAAGCGTCAGTCCTCAGCACAATCTCTGTCAGTGTATGCACAGAAGAAGGGGACTGGCACTTCTTGACTACGTGGACACTCATTGGCTATTGTAGGACATCAGATTTTCTGTTGGGTCAATTAAGGTGTCACTCAAAAGGTTAAGGTGTACCGTGTTTTTTTGTTTACATGCTAACTGTAAACAAACTAAACAGCAATCAGTCCGTGTGCATTTACTGATATAAAAATGCGCTTTGGACTAAATCTTTTACTGGATTGGATCGTCTGGACCTTTGCCAACATAACAAGGCCAGTTTTGTCGGTATGTAATCCATCGATAGGCTACGGCTTTTCTGGTAACTGGCGTCAATTTTGATTATTAGCAGTGCTTAAAGTACTTCTTCTTTTTACTCTTTGGCGTAGTGGGACTTTTCTTGGGTACAGGTGTTCTCTCTCATATCAGGTTCTCTGGGCACTATGTGACGCTCACCTGTTCCTGTTCTCGCCACCTCCTAATCTATTGGTAGAAACGGAGGTGAAAAAAGCTTGGGTGCCTTTCATGCAGTCGTGTGCATAAAGTTGCTCTTCGTGAACCGACTAGTCACAGTCTGGAGGTGGCGGGACACTAAAAAAAAGTTTGATGCGCTACTGCAAACTTTTGAAATGTTGAACTTGTTCTGCATCACGTTTAGAAAGAATAAAAACTCTGTATCAGACCCTTCTCCTCCTCCTCCTCTCTTGTTGTTCACAGCCTGCAGGTAACGTTACCTGGTCGAAGGAGGAGCGGCTGGTTTGTCTCAGCCAGCAGCTGAGTTTACAACAATGTGCCACATTTTAAGACTACAGACCAGTCTGTGCTCCAGACGGAAAGCTTTCTATTTAGCTTGTTTTTAACATTTGACTAATGCCAAGCTAATGTTAGCTGTGCATGTTTAGATACAGGTGCTGGTCATATAATTAGAATATCATCAAAAAGTTTATTTATTCAGTAGTTCCATTCAAAAAGTGAAACTTGGATATTATATTCATTCATTACACACAGACTGATATATTTCATGGTTATTTCATTTAATTGTGATGATTAAAACTGACAACTAATGAAAATCCCAAATTTTTTGAACTTTTGATGAACTTTTTGATGATATTCTAATTATATGACCAGCACCTGTAACATACAGGATGACAGACTGAGGACAGATGATTAAATTAACCTTTTCTACATGTTTACCTTACACACAGGTGTATTGATAAAGTATTTTCCTTTTACTAGCAAAGGTTTTATTGCACGTACGTACAGTAACGAGAGTAGCCGTCCGCAACTCGAGTAGGTTGGCGCTAACTTAACTTCACAGTCTCTACCACAATGGCGCGGCGTCTCTTTCTACTGGCCTGTGTGTGTGTGTGTGTGTGTGTGTGTGTGAGACGAAAGAGAGCAGCAGCCTGATGATAAACAGTCCCCGGCTCGTGTAATACTGCGCTTCAGGGCTATCATTACAAACATTAGTTGTCTTATCCATCGTGTTTCAAGTTAAATCAGATTTGACGCTTGAGACACAATGTTACAGACCAGCAGTATCGATAAGCTTGGACCTTATTGATTTTGGGGTTTTGAGAAATGTTGGAACTGGGTCCTTGTAAATAAGGCTAGCTGCAGATGGGAAGAAGCTGTTTTTGTGGTGAGAAACTTTGGTCCGGATGGACTGCAGCCTCCTGCCAGAGGGGACAGTCTGAAACGATTTGTGGCCGGTATGGGAGGGGTCAGCTCCAATCTTTCCTGCTTGGTTCAGTGTCCTAGAGATGTACAGGTCCAGAGGTGATGGAAGATTGCAGCCAATCACCTTCTCTGCAGAGTGAATGATACGCTGCAGCCTGCCTTTGTCCCTGGCAGTGACAGCAGCGTATCAGATGGTGATGGAGGATTGGTGATGGCGGACTCATCCCCACCAGAGATGAGCCCATTGAGGGTGGTGTCATCCGCAAACTTCTGGACAGACTTATCGGACTGGTAGCTGGAGGTGCAGCTGTTGGTATAAAGGGAGAAGAGCAGAGGGAAAAGAATGCAGCCTTGAGGTGAACCGGTGCTGATGGTCCTGGAATCAGAAACATGTTTTCCCATCTTTACTTGCTGCTTCCTGTCCGTCAGGAAGTCAGTGATCCGCCTGCAGGTGGAGTCAGGCATGTTCAGCTGAGAGAGCTTGTCTTGCAGTAGGGTCGGGATGATGGTATTGAAAGCAGAGCTGAAATCCACAAACAGGATCCTGGCGTAAGTTTCTGGGGAGTCCAGGTGCTGGAGGAAGTGAATTTCCATGTGTACTGCATCATCTACTAGTTACTGTACCTGTTGGCTCTGTAGGCGAACTGTAGGGGGTCCAGGCGAGGGTTTGTGATGGATTTAAGGTGGGACAACACAAGGCGCTCAAAAGACTTCACTACCACAGAGGTCAGGGCGGTGGTTCTGTAGATGTTTAGTCCTGTGGTCCTTGGTTTCTTGGGGACAGGGATGATGGTGGAGGCTTTGAAGCAGGCTGGCACATGGCATGTCTCCAGTGAGGTGTTAAAAATGTCTGAACACTGGAGAAAACTGATCAGCACAATGCTTCAGGATGGATGTGGAGACCGAGTCCAGCCCTGCTGCTTTGCGGGGTTTCTGCCTCCTGAATAGTCTGTTGACTTCACTCTCTGAGATGGAGGAGGGATGGTGGACTGGGGCTGAAGCAAAGCAGAGGAGTCACGGGGGATGGTGTCCGATTGACTCTCAAAGCGGCAGTAGAACTGGTTCAACTGATTTGCCAGGTGAGAATCGTTTATGGAGTGGGGGTTAGGGTTAGGCTTTGGGTTTATAGTTTGTGATCTGTCTGAACCCCCTCCAGACAGAAGTTGCATTGTTTGCAGAGAACTGGTCTTCTAGTCTCTCTGAGTACAGTCGTTTAGCTTCTCGCACCTCCATGCTAAAGCTGAACTTTAATATTCTGCACTGGGCCCTTTCCCCACTCCTATAGGTTGGTGTAAGGTCATGGGGTCAGTACCAGTTTAAACTGTGAAGAGAAAGTTGTTACACCAGCCTAGACGCACCGAACTGAACAGGCAATGCACCAGAATGAGTTTGAACTCCACAAAATAGGTTAGGTGTGAAAGGATCTGCAAAAAACGTGCTGTACCGATCACCGCCAATCCAGGGCTCAAACATAAAGACTGCATGACCTGCAGCCTCATCTCTCTTTTGTGGTTCTGCAGAACGCCTCCATTCCACATATACACACACACACATTAACGTACCGAGGTTGACAACAAATACGCTCATTAGTGTAAGTACATGGTGCAATAAAACCTTTGCGAGATATATCCAATACTTTATCAACACACATGTTTTATGAACACTAACATGTAGAACGTGATATTTTAATCTTCTCAGTCTCTCATCCACCGCAGTTGTGTTTTGGTTTTACACAAGCACAGCGCTAGTTCGGCTAATAGCCCTCCTCTCTACCAGCAGCAGAGGGAGGAGGTAGAGGAAGGGAAGAAGGACTGATGGGACTAATGCAAGAGTTCATCATTGTTTCTAAACTTCATTTTTGATGTCAGGAATATGATTTATTTTTCTGACATTTTAGATTTATTTCCAGTGAGATATTTGTGTCTTTGCTGTAAATCCTGACACAATATTAAATATTTTTTTTAAATTATATTTAATAAAGGCAGTTATTTAGTAATGAAAAAGAACTGATAAGAGAATTGATAAAGAACTGAACCAATAAGGAGTTGTAGAAGTGTATCAATAAAATCCTAATGATGCCCAACTTGTGAGAAAATGTCCAGCCCATCTCCATGTACTGGTTTTAAAATCTGTCCCAGTTGAATTTGTAATTGAATAGACCCTGCTGTACATTTACTGCCAGACTGAAAACTTTATATTACCGATTTTTGATGTTTGTGGATTTAAAATATATCCCACCTTTAATAGTTAGGCATATTTACAGTACAAACCTTGTAAGTGAACCATAAGGGAAAACCCCCCAAAATATTTGTACGTT